GCCAACACGACCCCCACCACCACCACCCCTTTCAGCGTACGAGCTGCGAGTTGACCCCAACACCAACATCATCATCATCCGGGCCTCACAGCCGGCCGGGGCCTTTTACGCCATACAGACGCTCATCAGCCTGGCAGACAGACAGGGAAACGTGAGCGGAGCCGTGGTTGTTGTTGTTGTTGTTGTTGTTGTTGTTGTTGTTGTTGTTGTTGTTGTTGTTGTTGTTGTGTTATTATTATTGTTGTTGTTATTGTTGGTGGTGGTGGTGGTGTTGTTGATGTTGTTGTTGTTGGCGTGGGGTGGGTGTGATAATAGTAATGATGGTGTTGTTGTTGTTGTTGTTGTTGTTGTTGTTGTTGCTGCTGCTGCTGTTTCTGTTGATGTTGCTGTTGTTGTTGCTGTTGTTGTTACTGCTGTTGTTTTCTTCGTCGCTGTAGTCGCGTTGTAGCTTTTGTTGCCTTTAATTGTTAATGCTATGAAGATAGCTGCTTTTACTTTTCTGATGTTGTACCTACCTGACGACTATGCTGTTACATTGTATTATTATTACAAGATACAGACCCGTTCTACTAACGGTGATGTAGTGATAGGAAAGCCCAAGATTAAATGTTTGTATCTGATTCATTGCCGTAGGGCTCCTGTGTAGACAACATTGCTGGTATATGCGCCTTCTGGAACTCTGTCCTAGGCAGCAGGTCTGTTTGCATGTATTCTAATAGAGTCCCTGGACCCAACACGACTCATTGCGAGATACAACATTGTCCATGTGAAAAAAAATCGCCCTGTAAAGAAACCCCTCCCTTTCCTTTTCAAAGTCTGTCCCTGGGGTTTGTTGGCAGTCAGTGTAAAAGCAGGTCTAACCGGAAATTGTTTCCGTCGCTTATGGAAGGGAAATAGTATGTTGTCTAAAGGCATGAGGGGAATCCTAGGGATGAATTAAGTCTCTTTCCAGCTTTGGGACCGCAAACGACGACAGCATCAATTACGTGTTGATGGAGATGTTGAACCACATATCGAGTCCCGCTGCAGAGGCCGTTTGTGGGGTCCAGATTTCTCAGCAACATGACAATGCTGTCTTTCCGCAATGTCAGTTTGTGGGGTGGTATACCTGACGGACATATCTAGGATTATATATTTACAGATCTAGATCTAGAGCCTTGCTCTATGAAAAGCTACGCAGAAAATACGCTCCAAATTTTGAAAACGTCAATACAACAAAGTGAACATTTTGTGGGTTTAAACGAACTCAACGTATTGGGGACATCACTACACCAAATATAATATCTAGGAAAAGTCAATACAATGAGGTTTGGCCTGAAGTACCCATCGACACAGCAAAGCATACATCCAAAAAAAAGTTACATATCGAGATTCTAGATCTGGAAACAGTAGAAGCAGCTTTGTAAACCCGAAGTAGAACTCCGTGGCACACACCCTACAAAGCACAAACCGCACTTCTGTTCTTGCTAACTACTCCAAATCAGTCTTGAACTCTGTGTTCCAAATACAGCTAGGATATTGAGAGATCAAGATCTCGAGTCTTGCTCTATAAAAAACTGAGCCCCAAATACGCGCCAAATTTTGAAAACGTCAATACAACGAAGTGAAAATGTTGTGGGTGTAATTAAACCAATAGATTAAACAAACTCAACGTGTTGGGGACGTGACTACACCAAATGTATCTAGAAAAAAATCAGTACAATGAAGTTTGGCATGAAGTATCTATCGACACTGCGAAGCACACATCCAGAGTTGGATATAGAGATTCTGGATCTGGAAAAAGTAGAAGCAGCTGCGCCACTCACACGACGAAACACAAACCGAAACGAAAGTAGTCCCCAGTAAATCATGAAATGGCTAATGGCAGAGAGAAAACAGCTGAGAGCTTCGATTTACAGGAAAAACTGTCAAACCTGAAAAATCAAAAGGTAGCTTCCAAACTTTGAAAATATGCCCTCGTAACCCTTTGTGACAATTCTTAACGGAATCATATTTTTTCAGATTTTATGGGCACCCGTGTAAAAAATGTATACTGACCTCATAAACGGGCTTACCTCCATTATAATAAGATTGTTTGTCAGTCGAGGGAGGGGTTGTTTTTGTTTGTTTATTGTTTTTATTTGATTGTTTGTTTGTTTGGTTTGTTGGTTATTAAATTTTGTTTGTTCGTTTGTTTGGGTGCTTTCATACTTCTGACCAATACATCGTCATCACCAGGTGCCAACTACAGTTATCCGTGACGGCCCAAGGTATCGCTACAGAGGCCTCATGTTGGACGTAGCAAGGAGTTTTTACACTAAGGAGAACGTCTTCAGGTACCTCCTACCCTCTAGCATAGTGACAGTCATTGGGGGAGTGGCGGGGAGGGGGTCCTCCGACAGCAAATTATGATTTTCCCGATGCTTATTAATAGGCGCAACTAAACTGACAGAAACAGGCTCATTGAAATGGTATTAAGATACTATGTGGTAAAGACAGTGAATGTGAGATTCCTGAAAATTCAATATTCTCGAGATAAAGAGGAATAGGCTTATTGGAGTTTCGGGGGGTAGCGATGCTCGTGGGAAAATTGCCTTGCTGTGCTACTTCAGCGCACGTGGGAGAAGGGTAGACGAACAGGGTAGATGGGATTAACACACACATTTCTTTAGCCCTATCTGCACGTTGTGTTTTACTATCGTATCCATACTACGTGGGGACTCTGTGCCCCCACTTTCCAAACAGGAAATATTTTACTGGTTAATCCGATCCTTACGCTTTGCATAGCAGTCTGTCAAAATGATTTTTTGAGAAACATTGAAAGTTTCAAAGAGATCTTCGCACTAAAAGTATTCTAAAATGTGAAGAATACAACCCCTGGGGTACTAAATGACCCCATGTATACGGATAGAGTTAAGGTATTATTTATAAACAGTTGTGACCACTAGAGTGTGGGGTTGT